CGTGGGACACTTGGCTGGTTAAACTCGCCTCCACTTAAGAGCCTCATTGAGTCTCCTAAGTGGGAATGAAAGCGTCTTTGCGTTTTTTTCCTTTTGAAAAAGTTTCCAAATCGTGCGCCGTGGTTTTATCGCAGATCTTGTGCCCACACCAGAAAAGAAATGTACACACAGGAACCGTCCCATTTCGGTTCGACTCGAAGAGAACAATGTGGAAAACAATAGTCTGGAACGCAAGTCAGCGGAGGGAAAATCATCTCCGACTTCCATTCATTTAAAGTACGTTCTGCAGAGCGCCGGGTGTCAATATATAGGAGGGGGAATAAATCCTGCATGTATTTCCCTTTTCACACATACACAACGTAAGCTCCAGGATGCTAATAGGTGCGTTAAATAACAGCAGGGGGAAGCTGTGATTGACGCGCGGTGCGTCGGAGGAGAAAACACGCTGCTGGAATAATGCAAGTCATCTGCCCGCTGCTTAACTCACTAACTCGGCTGACGGCGCAGAATTTGAGTGATTGCGTCTTAAATTGCATATTTGTTCCCTAACAATTGATTTGATGAAGCATTAAATTCGAGAGGACAATCAGTCGGTAGCCAGTTTCATTTATCCTCCCACCAGATTTTTGATAAGTGTCCATGTGGAGCTTTTTTACTCCTATATTTTGTGTTAATGCAGCCAGAAAACCCCCCCACTGACCAGCAGTTAGAAAGAGAGCAATCATGAAAAGTCCCAGGAAGATAAAAACCAATCTGACTCACTAAATGAGTGAAAATGTGACCTGAAGCCCAACATTCCTCCCTTTCCAAGGAAGGAAACCCAACATTTCACAACTATTCAAGAGCTTCACTCCTTCAACAAGTCATCAAACTGTTTTCTCAGAAGTCTTCATCATCGCCGGCTGTAAAGAACTTCACAAACAGGTTGTATTTTGCAAAGTAAAATTAAAAAAAAAAAAAAAGAGCTGACAAAACAGTTTGTGATGAAAAGGCCTCGTCTCAGCGGGGAAAGAAACCACGAGCGGACCGGTGCAAAGAGAGCGTGCGACGTGCGAACGGAAACCCCCCCCCGAGACGCCTCGCGAGAAGCAGAACATGCGACGTTGTGGTTTCCACACAAATGCAAACGGGCCGATTTAAAAAAAAAAATCACAGCTTTGCAGACTACTCATCTCACAGACGACAGCGGGCCGTCTCCCACCTTTAGATCTTAAAAGGAGCCCATGTGTCTAATGGCATTTAAATCAAGCAGTGAAAAGCAAAAGGGCGAGTAAACCGTCAACATCATTAACAAAAACTAAGATGCAAGTCCCTTTGCAAGAAACGGCACAAAAGAAGTTCAAATTAAAACGGCCTCATGACATGAAACAACACAGCGTGCACAGTTTGTGTCGAGATCTTTCAGGACGTTTGTCTTGTAATCTCGTCTCCTGGATGTTGTGCATTTGCTCGACTTGCCTTTGCAGCATTGTCGCTCCATTGACTTCCTCCCGACACTAATCGGCCTCCTGTTGCACCAGAAACCCTCAGCCGTTTCACCCGGGGTCAAGGGTCAACAGACGGAGCTGATTACGGGCGGGAGAGCGAGCGCGTCTCTCCAACTCGACGGGGGTGTGAGAAAGAGCCGGAGAGGGGAGGGCAAAGAAAAACAAGCGTCGCTCGGACAGCAGGAATGCGAGCGCCATCGCTAGCATTAGCTGAGCTAAGTCGAATAGCATCTTTTGTAACTCGGATCGTCCCCTTTTTTTCAGGAAGGAACCGTAGCAATGGGACGTCTCTGGGGGGGGACATGTTATCTGGACCACACAGACCAGATCGGATCAAACGTCCCGACGTGGACCTGCACCACGGGGTGGAAATACCACCGTTGTTCTCTGCAGCTGCTAATTCCTAATCCAGAGAAGCACAGACGTTGGATATGTGAGGGACCTCACCTCGTCCTCCAGCTCACCCCCTCCCTCCCCCCAGCCCGCTTTCTCCTCCCCCACTTTACACCCTCACAACAGCGAGCATCGCCCGGCCTCACGCTCACGCTCATTATCTCCTCCTGGCCCGGTGGCGCTTTCACCTCTTCGCGGTCTGAAACCACGCTCCAAATCACACGGAAGTAATAAAGGAGACACAACATCTCAGTCTCGCTCGCCCCGCAAGCCGAGTTCCCTGTTCCTGTTTGAGGGGGGGATCACAGAATTAATGTGAAATGATTCTCAATAGCCGCGGAGGAGAATGGAAGCAGCTCGGCCTCCCGCGTAGCTTCTCGATCCCTGACCCCCCCCCCTCGAGAAGAGGCAGCGTGGCGGTAGGGGTGTGGGTGCAGCCCTCGCTCTCATGAAATTACCATGGCATGAAAATCCATCACAAGCAGCTCGCCCGCTCACGCGGGTGCTCGCGTCTCCAACGGGGCAATCTGTCAGCTCATCTGCGCGTCCGCCCCCGAGGAGGGGAAGGACGGGGCGGAGAAACAATAATAACAGAACGGACAACAAAAGGCTTTGCCAGGGATCGCGCGCGTTATGAGTTGAGCTTATTAAAAAACGAATCTGCACACGCCGGGCGCAATAAAATATGGTGTGAAAGACGGGGGAGTCGAGAAGCAGGGAGGAATGACACCCCGCCGCCAATTTAATAGACCAGCTACAGCGGGCAAGCGCAGTTCCATTCGTGTTGTGTCATCGGGCCCGGGGCGAGGGGGGGGCGAGGAGGGGCGAGAGGGGGGGGGGGGGGGGGCAAATCGGTCCCCCGGGGGAAGGTCCCGGAAAATGACATAATCAGATACGATCAAGTCCTCCGGGATCCCAGATTTACACGGCGGCAGGTTGGTCTCCGACGTCACTTTTCATGATTGGGTTTGACACGACGGAGGAGAGACGGAGGAGAGAACGAGGAGAGACGGAGGAGAGACGGAGGAGAGAACGAGGAGAGACGGAGGAGAGGACGAGGAGAGACGGAGGAGAGGACGAGGGGTCTTTTGGTGGTGTTTGTGAGGCAGAAGGAGTTCGTTTGGTCTCAATTGAGGTTCAAAGTCCAGTTTAGAGCAACGCACCAGAGTTTCCTTTAGCCGCTCGGTTCTCGGGCCTATAGACACAGGAAATGTGCATCAAGTTGATTTACCTCCAATATTTGTTTCAATCCACCAGATGTCCTGGGGGGGGGGTTCCTGGTAATATGAACCTCGTCTATATTTTTCCAAAACTACGTGGAGGAAACTCCAGACATCTGAGTGACAAACTTCTTGCATTATTTTCTACTAAACGCTGAGTTTACAGAAAGAAAAAAAAAGCACATTTGGAAATCCTACATTTATTTCATGGCTGTCAGAGTGACATCACGCTGTGTTGTGCAAGTGCAATAAGCCTCCTCTGCACCATCAGGAAATGATGCGTTTCACATAGAAGTGAAAGGGTGGGGGGTTGGGGGGGGCGTGCATGACGCTCAGCTCTGCACCCCGTCTGCAGAGAACTACCTGCTTCTCCACTGCAATTTTCGAGACAAAGCAGCCGTTGTGTGCTGAATCCTCCTCAGGCGGATTCAATGGCGTCTCCCAAGTACGACCCCCGACAATCAGTCGAGAAAATGAATCAAATCGTCAATTGTTTCGATGAAACGTAATTTTCTGGATTTTGCGTCTCATTTCTGCTGGTTTTCTTTTTAGTGTTTTGTATCGATGTCGATTGAATGAGCTGTTTTGAACTCTTCTCTGCCATTTAAAGTAACTGTTAGTTTCGGTCCTGAATCCTTTTTCTATGTCAGTTCTGTTGTTTCTTTCGGGCGGAATCGTCAAACCTTTCGAACTATAGCAAATATTCAAATTCAAGAAGGTTTTAACTCCAAATATTTCTGCTGAAGGAAGTGAGTTGACTAGTTGATTTAGCGCTTCTTTTCTCATTGACATTCTGCATCGAGGGTTATTGCCGCGAAGGTTGAACGTGGCCGAGACAAAGAGGTCTGGATTATAAAATACATATATTATGTGGGGGGGAAAAACCTCCATCCATAACAGGAACGTATGAGAGCTGATGCTTCTGGAACAATCTCCCAGAGCAGCAGCTCATCCTCGGGCCAAGTTCCCCATACCCCCCCCCCCACACCCCCCCATCCTATTCATTTAGCTGCAAACAAACAATCAGGCTGAAAACACTTCTCGAGGGAGCGGCTGCACGATTCTCTCGGTCAACATTGCGCGGCCCCGGCTTGGCTCTCGGCTTGGCTCTCGGCTCGAAGGACAACATTTCAAGTCCCTTCTGCTTTTGGAGCGCCAGCCAGCTCATTCGGGGGGCCTTGGATGAGAGGAGCAGCCCACACGGACAGCTTACACCTTCTGGAGCGAGACAGTAATAGCGTTGAGCATCCCGGGGAACGCACGCACGCACACGACACAAACACACGAGCAAAAACAACCATTAGCATGAGCATCGGGCCCTCCGGTGGGAGTCCGGGAGCCCGAAGAAGCCGGAGCGCGTTTGATCCCCCCGTTCGGACTGCAGCTTGCTTTGATAACCGAGATGGGCAGCTCCCGTTTCAGAGGTGGGCCTCCAGCTCTAAACCCGGGGTGATAAATAGTCAAGAAACTGTCAAGTCCTTTTGTTTGGCAGAGTAATTGCAGCCCAGCGACGTCACACACTTATTGCACATATTACTTTTCCAGAGGGACCAATGGGAAACCAGAGTATCGCTCTCCAAGTATTTTCTCTCACAAATAATCATATTTCTGAAGAAATGAATGCAAATTGGTTTCTGTTTTTTTTTTCCACAAAGAAAATGTCTCTTTCCTCGGGGAGCGGGACCCTCGTTCCCACTGACTCACTGGTTTAGTCTAAAGAAACAGCCACACATGGGCTATTTTTTGGAGCACGTGGGCCTTTAGTTCAAGGGGGTATTTGATTTCATTCATTGGGTGTATTTTTTTTACAGCGTAAGTGTTGCCTGGAGACGCACAACCGAAGGAACAAAATCCCACTCCGGCACACGCGGGACTTATTGGGGCGCCTAACTCGTCTTACCACTCGAATTCTTCCCGCAGACGAGGTGCTGGTGGGGCTGCAGCAGACCCCACATCTCCGAGTCTCCGTTGATGGCTTGCTCCAGGGACTCCAGCGTAAACTTGGGCACCCCGTTGTCCCTCTCCACCAGCGCGCTGCGCAGGACGCGGCCGAACACCTCTCGGAACAGGCTCTCCACGCACGCCGCCAGGTATATGGCCGCGTGCTCGTGGATCCTGAGCGCCACCCGGCTGTCCACCATCCACCTGAAGAACTTCCCCACGGAGAACACCAGCCCGCAGCGCGCCGACTTGCCCCGGCTGAACTTGTCCCCGGTGCTCATGTTGTAGAGGGACAGCGCGCTGAGGGCCGCCGCGATGCAGTTCACGGAGATGGTCCACGAGAGCACCACCTTGATGGCGCTCTGGATCTCGTGCTTGGTGCACCTGGCGTAGCGCAGGCTGAGCCGCTGCGCCTCCCGCGCCACCCTCACCAGCGCGCGGCTGACGAGCGCGGAGAGCCGCGCCAGGACCTCCGGCGGAGGGTCGCCCGCCATCAGCTCCTCGTCCTTCCTCAGTGCGCCCTCCACCTCGCCGAGGCTCCACGGCACGTCGTCCAGCTCCGTCAGCTTGGCGCACTGACCCGAGCAGTCCAGGGTCTCCGGGTCCTCCGCCAGGACGGTGTTGACCGTGTCCAAGCTGTTCTGTCGGCTGTGCATGGATTCCGTCAGATGCCAGCAGTTGGCCCCATGCGCGAGGGACTGATGCGTGTCGGAGCAGCACAGCGACACGCTGGACGACCTGACCGAGTCCGCGGCTCCACCATAACCAGAATCAAGCGTTAAATCCTCCAGCGTCCTCGCGGCTGTCTTACCCTTGCCTGCCATGGCTGCACCGCATACTGTTGGGAATGCTTGGTCTCGATTAAACGACACAAACTCCTTTGTCGCTGATCATTGGTTCTCTCTTCCTCATTTCCCGGCGACCTTTCTTCTTCTTCTTCTTCTTCCTCCTCCTCCTCCTCCTCCTCCTCGAAGTGGCCGGGTGGGCTCCGACGTCCAGAACTTCACGCGCGTAACCGGAGAGCGCACGAACCCCGCCGCGCTCACTGCGACGCGCTCTGCACAGGAAGGGACTCCGCAGGAGAGGTGGAGCCTGGAGCCCCCGCGGCCACGGAGGAGCCAATCTGCGTCTCCGTCAGCTCTGACTGACGCTGACCACCCCCACCTGCTGCTGCCGCTGCCGCTGCCGTCGGGCAGGGCACGGGCTATCTGCTGGTGTCACGACGAGGGAGGTGGAGACAAATGGTGGAGGCATTTCACGAAGGTGTAGCGGAATTGTGCACTGGTGACTTAAGAACAGGAGAGGGGCGGCATGAAAACCCTGACATTTACAATGCTTTCTTATAATAAGATTATTTTTTCAGAGGGCAAAGGTCATGCAGTTGTTTGTTCTCCTGCGCCTACACAGCTCGATTCAAATCTAATGGAACGAGTTAAATGAACTCGGGCTGCAAGTTGAAATGCACACGTTTTAATTGTCAATATTGTCACAGGCCTTTAAAAAGAAGAGAAGATGTCTCACTCTTATGTCACATTTTTATGGTCATAATAACATTAATAGTGCATCAACATTTGTGGCCCTACGTTGTATTTTCTTTCATCCCATTAGGATGTAACATGTAGCCGTGCTGCAGTGAAAAGCAGCATTCTCATGGTGATAATCGTCAATAAATAAAGTGACGGTGGGTCTGCGGCACGAGTACTTTTGTTGACTTTGGCTTTAATGCCAGATCATAAATACTCACTGTCCTACATGCAGCCGTAACACAGACCTGCGGTCCCTGTGGGTCGAGGCTTTGCCGCCCTCAATCATCATGTTTGTCCAGAGATTTATTCTCCACAATACAAATTCTAATTTTTTTTCTTCTTCTCGCTGGGCCGTGAAAGCAAAGGGTGGGTTGATTTGAATTCTGGGGCCGTGCTGAGGGGAACAGTTGGGCGGAATCGATGATTCGTACGTTCTGCCGGGGCTCCTCCTCGCACGCCCCAGCTGGACCCGACCGTCTGTTCTTCGCTGCCCGGCGAGCCGGAGGCCCTTTCATATTTTACCGGCGTGCGACGCTGCGGGAGCCGTGCCGGAACTGATGAGGAAAGAATAACAAATTCATGGAGATGACGTGACGCCCGCTCTCACGGAGTGATTGACGGGGTAGAGTTTAAAAACAAATGGTGCACTATTCAGTTTGAGAGCAGTATTGACCCTCCGCGTGGGAACACATCAGTCCTCTGAATGCTACTTTCGGATGCGGAAATATTTGTATTGACCGAATGCTGAATTATTTACCTGTCAATACAGAGCATGAGGGAGGTACTGATCCTTCTGATTCTTATAACTCCATGAGAGAAAATAATTACTGTTTCAATTTCTGGATTAAAAGAGCTCTTCCTAAAGAGTTAATTTGGAAACACGCGGCCGCCCAGTCAGTGACAGGAGCTTCTTCTCCTGCAGTCGGCCATGATGTCTTGATGCAATGCAGCACATCTTGCTGACTAGCTCAGGTGGAGGTGGGCAGCTGGCAGCAGCTCCTCTACTCGCCCCATGGTCCTTCCGAAGCGCGTCCTCATGCATCGAGCCTCGGTTGCCTGGTAACAGCAAAATGATGAGGATTTTCCCCGGCAAGATGATGGAGTGTTAGTATTTTGCCAGTAGAATTTGCGCATGGTTTAAACACGCCTCCCTTAGTCATGCTGCACGGTCACGTTTTCTAACGTTTTTTTTATTTTCCTATTAATTACTTATGACTCCAAAGGTTATGGATGATTTTGCTTGTTTTTAAAATATTATTTATTCTGTATTTTGGTATCAAGTGATTGTACATTTGGCAGAATTGTGACTCAATATTACATTTTGTAGGACACTTTATTAAAGGCTAAAAAAAAACATGTTCATATGCCACAATGCCGTAATTCTGAATAAACGTTGGCTGAGGTGCAAAAGACAAAATAAAAGTGCAGCATCCTCTGTCTAAACTTCTCCTCCTTCACGGGTGTATTTTTTATCATGTTATCATCCGGCTTAAAAGGAGCGCTCTAATGGCACGAGGTAATACTGCCCCCACGTGGCTGAAATACCGCATTACTCCACCCGACGGCTGCGTCCCACGTATTGCATAATTACAACATTTACGCAACAGTTGTGACGCATTTCTTATTCAGACGCTGAATGAATTAACACTTCAAACAGATGAGTAGCTCTCATCTAACGCACCGCGACGTTGGATTCAGATAAGAAAATTAAATTAAATCACATCTGAACATCTCCTGTAATTTTAAACCATTTCACTTGAAGCTTTCTATCAGTCAGCGGTCTGTCTGAATATAAAGTGCGTCAGCTTCAAGTACAGCTCGGAGAGACGCGCACGCGCACACGCGCGTGACCGCCCCCCACCTCCCCGGTCATGCCCGACTTCATGTGCTCATCCGGGTTCTTTCACGGTAAACAAGCCTGGTTGACTCTGGAGGCTTTGGGCTTTTTTTTTTGGTTGATTCTTTGAAACGTTTACGGTTTTCGCACATACGTCTCCCACGTGCACGTCCACAGCTTTGACAGCTTTTGTTTGGGCTTTTAATGAACTAATTCTACCAATGTAAAACGTGTGCACATATTCGGCACTCCGCAGTTTAACGTATTTGAATCCGTTTTCCGTAAGGTCACCGGTATACGCACGCGCTCCCATGTGGGCACGCTGCACAAACGTGAGCTCGCCGGACCAATGGCGGAGCTCACAGCCGCCGCGCGTCATCGCGTGTGGGCGGAGTCTGGGGGGGGAGATTCGACGGCGAGGGGGCGGGGGGGGTCGAGCCGGCTGTTGGCGGACTTGCGGGGCTCATCCGGACCGCGTTTTGTGCGTCACGACACCAAACGGGACCGATCGGCATTTTATTTTTTTACCGTGTCCGCGCGCACTCGCGTCGCCAAGGGAAGACCGTTTAGACAAGAACGAGTCTGAGAGTGTATTTACATAACAGGCGCTAACGTCATTGGCGGTGCGCAGCGGGTTGTGGGATCGCGACCCCGTCACGCTTTTGCCGCGAGGACAAACGCGTTCCAGTACAGTTCTACACACGTTTATTCATTTTCATTCATTCCGACACAGAAGCGGGTCCCACAGCCCCAAACGGTTCCGCAGCCCGGCGCTCGAACCCTCGACGTCATGGAGGCGGTTCCGTTGGAGCAGGGTTGACCCGCAAACTTTGCGTCGCAGCAACGAGTCGAAGTCGCGTTGCCGCGAGTTGTTCTTTTGCATTCGACCTACTTCTTTTTTTTTTTCCTCTTTTTTTTTTTAATTCGATAAGGGAAAGTTGAGAAATGGTCACTAACAGCATCCACTGGTTCCGGAAGGGCTTGCGGCTCCACGACAACCCGTCGCTCGCTGACTCCCTGCTGGGGGCGGACACCGTCCGCTGCGTCTACATCCTCGACCCCTGGTTCGCGGGGTCCTCCAACGTGGGCATCCACAGGTGGAGGTGAGAAACGAACAGCTGTGCAAACACAGGGTGCATGATGATGATGATGATGATGATGATGACACTAATAATAATTATTAGACAGTTTTCCCCTTTTTATGTTTTGTTCTACGTGCATGCACATCTGAATGCTATGATGCATGTTTTAGTCGTATATTCAGTTGAATGCACCGGGCAGTTCAGTTTAAACCTGCTGTTAAAAAAAATATGTTGCACTTACCATGATTCAATGAACCAAACGTTTAGTTAATAAGAAACTTTTGATGAGAGTTAACTCGTTTCAAATCAAAGTGCGTTTCTGTGCAGATTGAACTTATTTGGGTTTGCTGCCGACGTCATTTTGACATCGCAATGTTAATACGAGTCAAATGAGCACTTCTTGATAAAAGTGTCAGCGAGGGGACGTAAACGCGGTCTTCACTCCTCTACTACATCGTGCAGTTGGGCGCTCAATAAAACAAACAAATCTCTAATCAGCAACCATCATAATAGCAAACGTCAACAAAAACCTGCAGACGCATCATTCGATGAGGCAAAATAAACGTTTGCTGCTGGGATATGCGATAATGGGATCACTCCTGTTCACAGATATTATTCTGAATTTACATAATAAACAACAAGTTGCAGCATCACAAGAGTTCCTGAAATCCCATTGTGGCGTTTCTTCCCCCCCCCCGTCCAGGTTCTTACTGCAGAGTCTGCAGGACTTGGACTCCAGCCTCCGGAAGCACCACTCTCGGCTGTTTGTGATCCGAGGACAGCCCACCGACGTCTTTCCCAGACTCTTCAAGGTGACGTCTCATTTGAGCCCAAAAAACGTGTCGCGCAAGGCCCTGTTCATTGAGCCCCCTCGGCTCACTCTTTGATCCCCCCCCCCCCTGCTCCTCAGGAATGGAACACCTCCCGTTTGTCCTACGAGTACGACTCCGAGCCCTTCGGTAAAGAGCGCGACGCGGCCATCAGGAAGCTGGCCTGTGAGGCCGGCGTGGAGGTGACCGTCCGCGTCTCCCACACCCTGTACGACCCGGACAGGTGAGTCGGCATCGACCCCCCCCCCGTCGAGCTTCACAGCTTGTTGTTCTCCAGCCGCTTGACCCTCTGCTCGTTCCCCGCCCGCAGGATCATAGAGCTGAACGGGGGTCAGTCGCCTCTCACCTACAAGCGGTTCCAGACCCTCATCGGCCGCATGGAATCGGTGGAGATGCCCGCGGAGTCCGTGGCGGACGACGTCATGGGGAAATGCCGGACGCCGATGTCCGAGGACCACGACGACAAGTTCGGCGTCCCCTCCTTGGAGGAGCTGGGTGAGTGCGGCCCGGACGGAACCGCGCCGGGAGTTTGGGGTTCAGCGAAAAAGCACGAGGAAGATTTATCCGGAAGGCCAACTTCTATCTGGGGACACAAGGTGAAATGCAAACGTTTCGTGCGCTTCATCTTTCCCTGCAGGTTTCGACACTGAAGGTCTGTCCTCGGCTGTGTGGCCCGGTGGGGAGACCGAAGCCCTCGCGCGGCTCGAGAGGCATTTGGAGAGGAAGGTCGGTCAGATCCTGCTTACTTACCTGTTTATAGAGGGAAAACGACTAGAAATGTCTCTTTCGGCGCCCCTCCGCCAATGGGACCGCCTCGGCGGAGAGCATGCGGTGACCATCACACGCCGCGCCCCGCCATTGGTGTCTGACCGCGTGACCGTCTTGCCATCAGGCGTGGGTCGCCAACTTCGAGCGTCCCAGAATGAACGCCAACTCGCTGCTCGCCAGCCCGACGGGCCTCAGCCCGTACCTGCGCTTCGGCTGCCTCTCCTGCCGCCTCTTCTACTTCAAGCTCACCGACCTCTACATGAAGGTGAGTCACGAAACGACCCCGTGGACGACAGCGAAGCGTTCCGGCAGCTCGCCAACGGCCTAAACCCCTCCCCCGGCCCCCTTACAGGTGAAGAAGAACAGCTCTCCCCCGCTCTCGCTCTACGGCCAGCTGCTGTGGCGCGAGTTCTTCTACACGGCGGCCACCAACAACCCTCGCTTCGACAAGATGGAGAGCAACCCCATCTGCGTCCAGATCCCGTGGGACCGCGACCCCGAGGCGCTGGCCAAGTGGGCGGAGGGCCGGACGGGCTTCCCCTGGATCGACGCCATCATGACGCAGCTGAGGCGGGAGGGCTGGATCCACCACCTGGCCAGACACGCCGTGGCGTGTTTCCTGACCCGAGGGGACCTGTGGATCGGCTGGGAGGAGGGCATGAAGGTGCGCCGCGAAATACGGTATCGGAAAATGTAACCAGCGGGTCTGTTAGAATTAACCGTTGAATTTAACTTTAAAGACCATGTGTCCTCAGGTGTTTGAGGAGCTGCTGCTGGATGCAGACTGGAGTGTGAACGCGGGCAGCTGGATGTGGCTCTCTTGCAGCTCTTTCTTCCAGCAGTTCTTCCACTGCTACTGCCCCGTGGGCTTCGGCCGGCGCGCCGACCCCAACGGGGATTACATTCGGTACGCCGGCAAAAGGGGGAACCTTACGCCATTTTTAAACCGAGGTCATCACCGGCAACAATAATCCTCCTGGTCCCTTCCACTCAGGCGCTACCTGCCCATTCTGAGAGGCTTTCCGGCCGAGTACATCTACGACCCCTGGAACGCTCCGGAGAGCGTGCAGAAGGCGGCCGAGTGCGTCATCGGCGTGCATTACCCCAAGCCCATGGTGAACCACGCGCACGCCAGTCGTCTCAACATCGAGCGAATGAAGCAGATTTACCAGCAGCTGTCCTGTTGCAGAGGCTTCGGTGAGGAGACACACACACACACACACACACACACACACACAAACACACACAGCAGACCCGCTGTTGACCGTCAGCCGTCTGTGTCTTTAGGCCTTCTGGCTTCGGTTCCTTCCACGTGCCACGGTACCGGGGAGACGTCCTCAAACGGGATGGCGTTCCCCGTCGAGGCGCCGCACGCCGACACCGCTCCATCTGGTGGGTGGCACATTTTCTTTACCTCCCCCCATTGCCTCTGGAGGTGAAGTTGTGTCTCCTGATTGGTTTCAAAATGTGTTTTTTGGTTCTGTCAGGCTGTGCGATGCCGGTTCCCTCCCAGGCCGACTGGCCGAGCAGCGTCCGGATGCACCGGCTGGCTGATCCGCCCCAGCAGGGTGGGGGCCGAACGCCTTACACGCCTAGCTTTCCCCTTCTGGTACGGCGCTTTGTGCTGTGAGCGTCTGAACGGTGCGGTCTGTGTTTAACAGGCCCGGGGCTCCGCAAGCGGCACAGCGAGGACGCCGCCGACGGCAAAAGCGCAAAAGTCCAGAGACGCGGCGCTCTCTAGGAGGTCAGTTAAAGAATTATTTAGAATTAGAACTAAATCCTGTGTTTCAGGACAGTAGAAATTAAAAAAATATATACTTTAAACAGAGAATCTTGGGAACAAAAGGTGAAGCTTTTTCATCTGTGTCTTAAATGGCTGAATTGATGTTTGAACGGTGATGAAATCTTCCTCTTTTTACTTTGCATTGTTCAGGACTACTGATTGAATTGTGTTTTTTGTGTGTTTTTCTAGACATAATTTGACATAATTTGTGTGTCCCTCTCGTCCCCTCCGTCCCCTCACAGGCGTGCAGACGGACCGAGTACACAGGCGCCGCTAAATGGACTTTACGGTTTAAATAGTCACACACACACACACACACACACAATGTGATCACCGCTGTCACTGGAGCGGCGTTTTACACTGTGCTCATTGTTTGGTTGATATGTATATCATGAATTTCCTAATTTCACATCCAACATGTACATATTTGAATATTATGTGTGCGTTTACTGTCTTTGTGTAGCCACAGACCCTCTGATATATTTTTGATATGAGAAACCCAGGTGGATGGTTTTGTTTGTTATTTTGTGTACACTTTTCTGCCTCTTTATTTATTCAACTGCAGCTCTTTCTCCTTTTTGAGCCGTCGAAGATGCGTCATTCCCTCCCCGCGTTACAGGCAACATTAGTATGACGTTAAAGTTTAAGATGTACCACTTGTGAGAAATCCTTTCTTTACGTCCTTTCTCAATGTGCATGTTTTATTAAAAGTGTGTTTGAATATACAAAATGGTTTCAGTTGCATTCTTTCAAGAAGTATCACTCGGTGGGGATAAAAAGCTGTTTGATAGTAGGGAATTAAACTGAAACAAGACATGTAGACGCAGCATTTATTGCTCATAAAAAGCATCATGTTATGAATCACAGCCAACGTTTTGTCAGTATGCTGACATAAGATGCAGTACCTGCGTCGCATGGCTGAACCCAGCACGTAACAGCGTATCGCGCACCTTCACTCCTCGGCCGGCCGGAGGGGAGCGACGGGGTTGAACATCGGCCGCCGCTGCCGCAGGTGCAGTTTGCCGCAGCTGGTCTCGAAGTCCTTCTTGGTTCCCGCGACGACGTCCAGGCTGCCCGAGCGCACGTCGTACCCCAGGGAGGCCAGCTTCTGGATGCGGTAGAGCACGATCGGCGTGGTGAGCTCCAGCACGTTCGGGGACTCCTTCACCTGCTGCGCGCTCAGCCCGACGTCCATCAGCCCCTGGAAACGCCCCGCCAGGGTGGGCAGGGAGTGGTGCAGAACGGCCGGGCAGCGGGTCGCTATCTGCTTCAGTTCGTCCTCGGAGCAGGCCAGGGCCGCCTCCACGTAACCCAGCGCCCGGCGCATGGCCTCCGGCCGCAGCTCCGCGACGGAGGCCCTGAGGCTGGAGACCAGGCCGAGGAGCTCCTCCGTGGTGAAGCCCCGCTCCCTCAGGAAGCCCAGGCTGTCCCTCCAGGCGCCGGCCGGCCGCAGCAGGATGTGCGGGTTCTGCGCGAGGAGCTTCCGCAGCCAGACGCGCAGGTCGCCCTCGTCCCCGCCCAGCTCCAGGTAGGTCTCCCTCAGGGTGTGCACGACCTCCTTGTTGAGCCCCACGGGTCGGCTGAAGCTCTGCGGGGCGCTGGCCATCAGCTTGCCGATGATCCTGTTGCCGAGGCCCAGACTCTGGAGGAAGAGGACGTTTGCCCGCTGGTGCCCGTGGTGGGTCAGCGTGAAGAAAGAGGCCGGGAACTTCTCCACCATGCTCATCAGCTCGCGCTTGTTGGGGCACACGGACACCCAAAGGTCGCGCTGGGCTGCCGCCTCCTCCGGGCGACACAGGACCGCCTCGGGGTGCGTCTCCAGGATGCTCGCGATCGCCGTCGCGTCGGCGCCCATGTCCCGCAGCAGCTCGGCGGTTTCGCGGACGTACGCGGATCCCTCGGACAGAACCCAGGCCTTGGACTTGCGCACCTTACGGATGTCCACCGACAGCTGGTAGAGGGACCGCACGGTGAGCTGGTTCTCCGGCGTTTTAGGGGGAGGGGCCGCCGTGGAGGCGGAGGCAGAGGGCGGGCCGAGGAGCCTCAACCTCCGGCTGCAGGCGCACAGCGAGGAGGTCGTGACTCGCAGCATGGTGGACCTGAATGGAGGAGAAGTACGAGTGAGCTGAGAAGGTGGCATCAACTGTCCTAAAGTGATCAACCGCCAAGACCTTAAGCTCAAAGTTTATAAACTCCCAAACGTTCTCGCTTGTGATCCCCCGTATGATATTAAGTCTTTGTAAATGCATTAACACCGATGTCCTTAGTTATCCAGGTATGGGACAGATAAGGGGGACATTGAGTCCTACATATATAAGTTATATTTTATAACATCAGTGCGCACTACTTCACTCGGGGGGAACAAACATCCAACCACACGTGACCGCAGCGTCTGAAAAAAAAAACAAACACAGACAGTCCGTTTATTTAAGAAAATATTCATTATAAAACAAGTCATTTTACCAGGTTCCGACTCCGGCCGTTCCGCTCTCATAACAGCAGAGAAAGAGGGCGGAGCAATGAGCCGCGTCATCATGACGCGACGGCGCGTGTCAGTGACGTGAGCGCTGTTACGGTGGAACTACAGCGAAAGAAGGACTACAAAACGCGCAACTAAAACGTGACAGAATTAAATCGCTCACTGCGTTGCACGCTGGTTGTTTAAAGAGAGAAAACGTAGCTCGATCAACTGATCAACTCTGAACAATTATTATCCACTGGCTCGATATTAATGTAACTCAATATTATATATATATATATATATAAAAAAATATATATATAGATTTTTTTTACATGTTGTGGATGTCATTTTGCATCAGTTTACCATCGAAGCAGGTGCAAAACAATCCGTAGATATTGAGATTTCCTCAGTTGAGTATTTTCTGCAAACTGCTGGAAACACTGCATGCTTCTGACCACATGAGGTCCCTGTTGCCTCGCTGTTGCCTACAAGTCTGGCTGTTTGATCCCTGATTGATTGCTCATAACGTCGGTGTGTGGATGTCACTTGGTTTGGTGCTGACGGGCATCTTGCATGAGAGGCTCCATCAGCGCGTGAACGTCACACACAACTGACATCTGCAGCGTTATGCAAAAATGAGTCATGCTATTTAAGATGAATAAAACTTGAATACACTGCAGTGACGCACACATAATTAACATTTAGTCCTGTGTGGTTTGTTTATCATTTCTATAGATTTTTCACATTTTGTATTCCTTTTTTCGGTCTTCAAACGTTGCATTAAACGTTTCTAATTCCTCTTAAGGACGTCGACCCCTCAAAAGAAAAAGCAGCTCTTTTCATTGTTTCATCACGAACCGTTTGGTTTGCTCAACTCACTCTACTTGCTCTCTGCGGACGGCTTCAAACCGCAGCTATTTATAGCCTTTGTTGCCTTCCTGCGCTGATGGACACAGTTGTCCCTCACTGCCAGTAACCCGTATCGCGCCGGGACCACCTGCTGCGGTGGGCTGGCATGTGGAGCGGAGGTCCACTCTGTCGGATGAGACAGGGAACGTTCTCCTTCAAATGTGTCTTTCCCTATATGCCGCAATGAACCTATCCTCGCCGAGAGCCACAGCGGATGAATGGAACTGAACCCCCCTCCTCCTGAAGGTGTCATCTTCCGCTGTGCACCAGAACGGCGTTCATTCTAAGGAGGCCGATGCCACCGTTTACTTTTCATACAATTCTCAGACCCGACGGAGCCTCCAACCCAGACCCCCCCCCAGTCAGTTATCTCATGCGTTTGTCGACTTCATCACAACTCAAGACTCGGGAACATTAATTGTTGACACAGCGTTGCATCGTGGGAGCAATTACGCTTTAATCCAGGCAGCGCTGAGAGGCGAAGAGCCTCCGATAGCAAGAATGTTTTAATTACATTCCAGCGTGGAGACTCGTCTTTGTCTTTGTTCTTGCTGCCGATCCCCTGATGGAAAATAATAACAGTTATTGGTGAAACAATAACTTTACGCAGATGTGAATCGACATTAAACGGATGAAGACAAACCCCAGAGATGCCAGGCTGTAGTTTTTTTTTCCAAGGTGGCGGCTGTTTTTGGAGAATGTGACAGCTGTAACTTCCCCTCATTAAAGTCCTCCCCGGCTCCGAGGCCGCATGGAACTCCTCCAAACACCACGGTGGCCTTTAAACCTTCACGATGGATTAGCAGGTCCCCCCCCCCCCCCAAACCGGGTGTGAAATACGACCTACAGGGGTGAAGCACATCGATCTCCATTTATCCGCTGCTTCCACGTCCCTGAGGCCTCAAAAGGCCTGTAAAAATTCTCTGTCATTTGTCCCTGATGATGTTGCTGTGTGGGACTGGAGAGCACAAGTGTGTGTGTGTGTGTGTGTGTGTGCCCGGATCTGAATAGTCTCATCTTGTCCTTACAAAGGAATGAGGAGGCGCCGCAGGGTCATAGAGGAGGGCGGGGAAGGGGGGGTCAAGCGTAGCTGAAGGTTTGTTGAGGAGAAAATAGACTTCTCCATCTGTCTCAAAGTCCGCCCCGCGGCTGACCCCCCCCCCACTCTGGAGACTCTGGAGGTCACGTGGTTAAAAAAGAAAAACCAGGCGAACCCCTTAAAAGCCCCCGAGCAGGCCCCGAGAAGCAAGTCGTCCCGCAGCTGGTCTCAGTGGTCGCCCTGCCTCCTCCCGCCTAGAAGGCCTCCATCATGTCAGACAGCGAGGAGTACAACGAGCTGGAGGAGGAAGAAGCCGAAGAAGAGGAGCGGGAGGAGGATGAGGCGGAGACGGCAGAGCCCGAGGAGGACTGCAAGCGGAGGCCTAAAACGACTTACGTGCCCAACATCGCCCCTCCGAAGCTCCCGGACGGCGAGAAGGTGGACTTCGACGACCTGCACCGCAGGCGCCTGGAGAAGGACTTCGACGACCTCCAGACGCTGATAGAGTCGCACTTCTCCGCGCGGCAAAAGGAGGAGGAGGAGCTCCTGGCGCTGCGCGGCCGCATCGAGCGCCGCCGCTCCGACCGCGCGGAGCAGCAACGCGTGCGCGCCGAGCGGGAGCGGGAGCGCGCGGCGCGCCTCGCCGGGGAGAGGGCGCGCCGCGAGGAGGAGGCGGCGGCCAACGTGCGCGGCTGACTAGGACGCGAAGAAGAAGAAGACCTTCACCAGCAAGTCGTTCGGCGGCTACTGCAGAAGGCGGACCAGAGGAAGAGCAAGAAGCTGACGGCGCGGGAGGAGAAGAAGAAGGCGCTGACGGAGCGCCGGAGGCCGCTCAACATCGACCACCTGAGCCAGGAGAAGCTGGCGGACAAGGCGCGCGACCTGTGGCGGTGGCTCCAGCAGCTGCACGCGGAGAAGTTCGAGCTGGCCGAGAAGCTCAAGAGGCAGAAGTACGACATCCACGTGCTGCGGAACCGCGTCAGCGACCACCAGCGGGGCTCCAAAGGGCCCAAGACCTCCCGCGGGGCAAAGGGAAAGTCCGGCTCCTGGAAGTGAGCGACTGGACCGCCGAGTTGTTCCTGGACTGTGTCTTATTGGGGGGGGGAGGTCGTAAATGAATGTTGTTGTTGACTTTATTAAACGTGATGTGTGGTGGTGTTAATATCAAATTCTCCATGCAGCGTTTCTCTTTGCAAAACAACACTATTTCCACCTGTACAGACAGTATTTTCCTCCACCTTCCCCTGAAACTACATGTGTGTGTTCATTAAATATAATCTGCCCAAAAGTCCACCTGGCTACATTCTAACTCGTGCACGCGTACACACAATGAACCTCTGGAGTCGTTTTAAATAAAAGCCAGAGAGACCCCGTCGTTACCTAATTGAATGGCAGCATGTCACTTGTTGACGCCCAGCAGGTGTTGCACAGCTGACTCTCAGGAGACTCATTTAGACCCTCTGTGTAGGCCCCCCCGCTGCCGAGCGAGGGGTCGCGACCCGAATAGTCTGCAGAGAGAGACGTGGTCTTCAGAGAGTTCCACTGCAAGGAACTCATCTCCCCCTCTGGTCCTTTTGGCGACGCGTGAGTTTGACTCTTCAAGCTGTTGTTCACTTTGGATGGGCAGAAGATGGCAGCCTACAGGTGGGTACAAGATTTGATGAAATCCTCACGCGTATATATATATATTCTTTGCCTTTTAAGTCCTGGAATGCCGTCCCGCTGGAGGTCAAACGAAGGTCAACGTGTGCCGCACAAAAATGTTATTTCCACTGGGTGGAAGTAGAGCGCCAGATTGTAGCCGACTCCTCCAACACACACCGCTGGGAAACCATGTTCAATCACATAACGGAATGTGTGTGCACGCAATACACATTGATTTGATGAAAATAGATTCCAGGTGTCTGTACATTTTGTCGTTTGATATTTGCCTTTGAACTAATTGGAAAAGACCTTATTTTCAGAAAGAAACTTTTGTGGAGTGTCTTGGAACATCTCAATTACCCTTTTGATTACAGAATACACGTTCAATGGAGCAGACTGTCTCTACGCCCGGGGAGTTAATGGACTGCGGGGACCTCAGTCACGTAAATAACACTCCCCTGTGTCTGATATTATTTCAGCGAAAACCCCTATAAAAGGACTCCAGGGCGCGAGGGTAAATCAGACAGGTTAGACTAACGGCTCGAGAGAAATAAACCCCCCGTTTTTGTGTCAAAGTATATTTCATCCCCTGACAAGTATGTTTTCCTGTCGAAAAACAAGCGATATTGGCATGTCTTGTCAACAACAGTGTAAAGTTGAGAGGAACAAAAATTTCCCTTACTTATAGTCTCATCGGTGGTAGAGGGGATGAGAACTGAAATATTGTGGTCGTGTGATAACCTCCTGGAGCGGAGTCAATGTTCTCCCAACATCCACCCGGCGGCGGGTCCCCTTTTCGGAGATGGATATTCCTTAGAAGGGCATCCTCTTGTTGGGCTGAAACAGTTTGGTTTTTTTTTCAGAAACACAGCTCCAGCCTCCCAAACAAGGGGGGGGGGGGGGGTTGTGCAGGCTGGGGGGGGGGTTATTGTGCTCATTAGTGCCCAGCAGAGACTACAAGATAATGTAAGCGCTGCACGCTTTACAGTTTCCAGGGCCACACTTGCAGCCCTGACTGTGAATTGCTCTCTGATGGATGTTTGTGTCTCGTTAGAGTCACGCGGTTCTGTTCTGGTGTGCAAAGCGTGCTGGTTGACATCTGCACAACACAAGAGTGCGTCATGACTGACAGGACGCAGAGCTCAGAGACTCTGATCTGGGATCTCACTCTGGATTTCACTTGACACCTCGCAGAGATTTGAAGCAATTCAAAAAAATACGTTTTCAAAAATTGTCCAATCGTCCAATTATTTGGACAAAGAAATCACACGGCTTCACTTTCTATTGTTAGATCTGGGAAGTGCAAATGCTCCCACAACTGTGTGGGTTAATATATTGATTGGTCTTTTTAATTGATTTGTAATTGCTTGAATTCAAGTTAGCAGGAAAAAGGAAACTAATAATAATAATTATTGATTTTTCATGAGGACGAGTATTTTCTGCCCACAGGCGTTAAAAAATATCCAATGAATGAAAAGGATCCTGTCTTTGTTTCACAGGAAAATGAAGATTTCCTCTTTCATTTGTCTGTTTAATTAGTCGTTTCTCGCACAGCAGAGGGCTCATAAATAAACGAACACGTGTACGACGTGTATACGCCTGCATGTGAACGCCGCCTCAGAGGCTGAAACACAACATGGCTTCCTTCACTGAGCCGCGGCGTCTGAATTTCCCACACGTCCTGGCGTCATAATGGCCGCCATGCGCCTGAGTGAATGCTTTTAATTATTCATGGTTTTCCTTAATGAGAGAAGAATCACACGAGGCCTGTTGGTAAGTGCCACGAGAGACAAAAGCACGGCTTTAAACATCCTGCCGTGCGTCACGTTCACTGCACACACAAAGAGAGCAGATAAGAGTGAAGAGGGAATTATATGATAACAATATTTTGCATATAAAGGAAGTACGTCTGCTCAGGTACTTAAGTTCAACATTTGAGGTACTTATACATGACTGAGTATTTCTACACAACGTGGCAACGTAAGTGAACTGAAGTAGTAATTAGTCATTTGAGACTAATCACCATGATTTAACCCAGGAGGTCATTCATATCACATAAATGACATTATATCGATAAAGAAACCCAAAGCACGAACAGGTGGTTCCCTCCTGGCAAACGGACGTTGGTGTGTCGTTGTCGTTGTTGTCGTTGTTGTTGTTGTCGTAGTAACACACACACACAGCGTAGCGGCTCCGTCTCTCAGCGGCCTCTCGCTCGATGTCGATGTCGTGACTTATTTCCAACCTCCATCAAATTGAGGCGGGAAGCCGGAGGCCCGAAGGAGCTTCCCCCCCCCCCCCCCGCCGACGGGACATAAATCTCCTGCAGGTATTCGCGCCCGGCTCCCCGTAGAGAGAGCGAGTTTGTGAGTCCGCGGCTTCAGCGCCGTGTGAGCGAAGCGTCGTTGTGGTACGCATGACACCAGTAGACATCGCACACCCACCCACAACAAACCCATCCGTACCTATCAGCCCCCCGGCGTCTCTTCTAACTCTGTCATGTTCTTGTCTGCTTGTGTTAATATCACCCGTTTGACGTGAAGGAGCTGCAGATGTGGTGTCTTTGTGTGCCGTTGACTCACAGAGCCTGTGTGTGTGTGTGTGTGTGTGTGTGTGTCACTCTTGTTCCATTGTGGGGAAACACTATAAATATGAAGCCAAACACCTTCCTGATGGCGACGCTCTGTGAGGACGCAGGTCGAAAAGCGTGACTCATCGGCGCAGTGTGGCAGCTCAGGCTGTTTAGACCAATGAATACAACAACAAAAAACATCTAAAAGAGCCTCGGGGCTGAATATAAATGTTAAAATCTAAACCGCGCCGTCAACGGGGTTGTGAGAGACTCTTGAATATCCGGCATCGACGTCCAGTCCATCAGAGGGGAAACGCGAAGCGACGATCCGGCATTGAGATTCACTGCGGCTTCCACGGCAGACTTTACTGAGCGCATCTGACGTGCTTCCTTTGTTAATAAGTTAATTTGCCGTTTTGCAGCTTTTCCGTGGCACTCTAAAACCACTATCAGCAAAATGGTGGTGGTTCGCTGTGGAGGTCAAGGGGATCTAATGTGGCTCCATTATATCATGTTGATTGACAGCTCCTGTGATGATTAAGGGTGCACTGGTTTTCTCAGGTTCCTTTTTAAAGGTCTGACCTGTGGATTTAATTGACCCATTCCCATAAAAGCTCCATGCAGATGAATAAGAACTATGTTGTTATTACAAAAATAATAATCTTGGCCTTTGTATATTTTCTTTTTTTAATATAAGCTGCTTATAGATGACGTTAGTTGGAAAAAGGTCATAGGTTCACTGTGATTGTTTTTTCGTTAAGATTGCCTATTTTCTGCAAAGACTGTTAGATAACACAGATAACACCGATTGAATCATCCGTGCAAACAAATGAAGAAGAGCTGCTTATATCTGATTCTTTGGTGAACATTCAACGTTCAAGCCTGCAGACATGAAAAATGACTTTGCATTCATGCATCGGTTGTTGGTATATTTTCTGGAAATCTTTGACATGAGGAATTTTAGATATTGAATGACTTAATCCAGGTCCCGGGTTCAAAAGGACGTGCTTTTCTCCAGTTGGCGGAGACACCGAAGGCCGTGAATTCAATCGTTAGGCAGTAATGGGCGGCAGGCATTACGTAACCGTCTGTCCATTTACCGCTTTAACTGTAATTGCTCTTAGAATAGAAGTCGCCCCCGCTGCCTCTGCGTTAACGAGTTGACGTCTGACCCCTCTGCATCCGGCGCGGCGTCGAGCTGGAATGAAGCAGACCTTAGTAAGTCCGGTAAAGGCGGCATAGGTGATGCGAGACGGATAGAACAGCATCCCTTGCCCTCGGTAGGAGCAAATCTTGATCAATTGTCTAATTAAAGTAAAAGGTCAGATCGCGCCGGCATCAATGGGGCCCTTTGAAGAGCTGGTGACGGCGGATCCGTGGCGCCGTCACTCAGAACAAGACGCGTTTTCAAAGAGTAGCATTCACAAGAGGCTCTCATCTTTATTTTACAGACGGTTTGCCACCGCGACGATCCCTCTCCACCACGCGGTGACTATAATCCTGCAGGTGCATCGTGGCCTCCGAGTCCCCTCAGAGCGCCGGCGTTAAATACCCGGCTCAAACAGGCATTCAGGAGATGACAAAGCTGTAATTACATGCATCACCACGTGGCGCTATTAGCCCTTTCTAAGTAAAGATACAACTCTAAGTAGGGGTTTAGTGTACGGAGAGGGGGCCGCTTTCATTGCCAGGGAAACTAATGCAACACCCCCCCACCCACCCCTCCCCCCCTCCCATCTCCCCCCTTTGTTCTGTTGATGTCCAATATCGCAGATCAAAAGAAAGTTGCAGGCGGGATCAGAATGCTGCACCATCAAACGAAGGCGGGAGGAGAAAAGAGAAAAGAGGAAAGCGTCTCCTTAAAAGCATCTCACAGACTCGGGGCCTCGTGTCGCCTGATTGGCTCACGTTGCTTTCGTGGAGCGCTTTTCCTTCGCCTGCCGGCTGATGGATGCGTGTGTTCGTGTGCAGGGAAGGGCCTTCTTCAACGTTACCTTTCATTCCTTCAGTGAATGCCAATGTTTGCAATGACTATGAAAGGATCACACACTCACTGTATGTGTGTGTGCGTGTGCCATTATTGTGATTGTGGACATTTTTGCTGGAGAATATCCTTTTTATCTCTTTTATTTGTTTATCTCTGGGACAAAATGTAACTTTAAAAAAATGCCTCCGTATAATTTAAACACACTTTACAATTTTGCTACTTTTGCCAGCATGTTCCGGTCTTCTTTTACATTTTCCCGCCAAAATAAGACAGGAAGCTGAACGTTTCTAGAATGTGTAAAAATCTTTTTTTAGCATATAATCAAAAAGCATTAGTGCCTCCATGCTACCTGAGATATGGAAGGTATAATGAATGTAAACATGCCAGTATTTACACAAGACTCAAACTGTACTGTGTGATATACAGGTAGATGTCCGTACAAGCCAAAAATACATAAAAGTACAGTTAAAGATGGAACAAATGCCAAAGGTAGGATTTTTATTTTATTTTTTAGTTAAAATACATATGAAACATACAATAAATCATATTTCAATTTGTTTACTTTAAAGTGTTACAAAAGTTATCACAAACTGTACACATTATGACGGCAGTTGCACTTGTTCTTGCTCGATACGGAATCAACAAATATGCAAACAATTACAGACCAAACGCTCTAAACTGCTAAACATGGAATAATAAGGTAGTCGCCTGGTCTCCAGTTTGGCTAATTGTTCACAACTATCATAGAACGAGTATAAACAAGTGACTCAATTACAAGAATGAGCTGTTTCAAGTTATCACCAAACAATAGAAATAAGTTCACGACGACTTCTTAAATTTCACGTTTGAATACAAACAGTGCCAGTTGGCAGGTATACTATATACAAATACTCTCACATATGCATTTCTTGTGTTTTCCCTCTGTGTGTTTTTAAAAGTGGTGAGACGCATGCTACAAGTAAAAATAATTTTCTCTTCAAGGGCATCGTTATATCCATGTGCAAGTAAGATAACAGTACACAGCCTCGTTTTCTATTCACTATGTTGGCTTTCTTGATATTTTCTTATTACTCACATATGAGAAGAAACCAAGTCAATGTTTCGACACGTGGAACTTCACTTTATATGGCTCCATGTAAAAAAAACCTGCACGTAACAGTTCCAAGTATTTTATCAATTATAATTCCCTGAATTTGTGACAGGTGAGGAAAAGTTGTTGTGCAACAAAGTTTGTGTTGGTAATTGCATACTTGTGTATTGACACAACATACTCGGTCAGTTTTGTACTGCTCACTAAATTAGCAATTAGCATTCTGTTCACACTCTACTCCGCGGTCACGTGACTAACAATCAGGACCTCATGCTTCGTCACGTCAACACCTACAATCAGTTTGGAACTGGCCAGCTTTTATGCAAATTATAATATTTTTGGTGTAAAACACTTGCGTAACAACACGTCATGCATATGTGAGCCTGTACTTCACTTGCAATACTTTTGTAATTAATCTATCCAACTTATTAAAGTGCAATTTTTCATTACATTTTATATGAAAAGTAGCTTAGTATACGATTATGCAATTTTATTTTGGTGCCGTTTGGCCCTATTCAGCCAAATGAGATAAGCTCCGCCCCCCCAGTTACTGTGGCTGTTCCTGTCAAGCGTTCTATCTTCACACGGCACATCGTGCAGTTTGTTATGACAATGGTGGCTTTGGTGAAAATATGTTACCATTTTAAAAATAGGCCCTCCGAGCCGGCGACCTTCAGTTCCGTCGGCCCAAACAACATCTGTTGCGTATGAGAAAGATAAGAACCACAGCTGGGCCCAGTTATTGGTCGATGGACACTGTAGACATTTGCAGTTTGAACAGCGCTTTAACCGCATTTGATGAAGCTATAGGCGCAATACAATCGGGCGATAAATGATCTACCGTGTACAAAAATAAATTGTCACCGAAAGTCTAAAGTCTTTTGTTTTGCTTATTTCTCTGTACAGGTTTGTCATTAAGACTCTGAGGGCCGATGATCAGAACCTCAAACACACCGACTGGAATAAACTCCCAGTTGTCCTTTGCTAGAATAAGGGACAAAAATACAATTTGAACACATTGGTTCTTTTAAGCACGGATGGTCTTTTGTAGTTTGCTACATGTCTCTGCTACGCTTTCTCTACCTTTGAGGGTCCCGTCGACTCGTCTAATATCTGCAGGTGCCGCTGGTTTCATACAACTGTTGACCTTTTGAGAGAGATTCACCGAGCCCCCGGTGAATGCTCAATTAACAGCATTCTCCAGCCAAGACCTGAATTTATTAAATGATTTTCATCAAGCGTTTCAACTTTCCTGCCACTTCAAAAGGGGGAAATGCTACGTCACTGCAGGGCTCGGAATCCTAAAAGGTGGACGCAGCTACAAGCGAATGGTGGGAGTGAAACCACTCAGGTGGTCCGTGTAAATGTAAAGCCTTCAGGGAGAATTTCAGAGCGGATTAACGAAGGAATAAAACCCACGTTTTTTTTTTTTTTTTTAAATCAGTCGACAGTGAGTTCTGTCCATGAACAGCTCCGCAGAGCACTTGAAGGACCCGAGATCGAACAAACACGAACGGAGCTACGCTGAAAGCAAACACACGTGATGGGATGGTTCTTCACAGAGGGACTCGCCGGGCGACGCGGGCCCGTCAGGGCGTCCGCGGCGGTTTGGGTGAGGCGCACGAACCTTGACTCTCAAAGCTTGCTGCTCTTCCGGGCCACTGCAAGGGGAAATATCACAAAGCAAAGGGAGTCAATAGCGGCTACTTGACGGGTTATTATTTTTTTACAAACAGTCCTCAGGATGTACTGTGATCATAGGCAAAAAGGAAAAAAGCAGGAAGTTGCATCGCCGCAGCTGGGGCAGGACACACTACAGACGCAGATTTACTTGTTTTGGAGAAGAGGCATCCGCATTTGTCATGAACTCACTTGACCATTGCTCTTGTGTGCGTGCGCACTGTGCTCTGCACGGACAGACGACTCTTACGCCACGATTCAGCATGTGCTCTTACATGTTTGGCACAAGTGCTGCATCGCTTGTAGACCAGGACATTGGCTGTAAACAACGTCCTCCTGTTAGCGGCGCGCCCTCTGTTTGGCAATTATTACAGTTTCCAGCGTTTCGCACGACGGGGAAATAACAAATAAGATTGTATCGATCGGCGAATGGGATTTCTTTCAAAAAAACATTAAGGGATCATCAAGTACCTGCGAAAACACTTCAGCAGCAAACACCCCCCCCCGATGTTTGCAGGCTTGTTAGTGCCTCAGCAAACACGACGCGCAGCTTCCATTGTAAACTTCCCATTGAGATTGTGAGCACCAATTAAATGCTCTGGATATATACAATATATATATATATATATATATATATACACCAACCACCCACATGCTCATGTGTTGACGTGATCTACAGAGGTCACAGGTTTTGCTTATGATCACAGTTTCTTTTTTTTTTTTAGTAGATTTACCACTGAAAAGGGGTAATCACCTTTGTTTTCCTATTCGTCAGATGGGGAAGTGGGCGGGGCGAAAGAGGAAGACACATTTATAACATGTAAAATATGAAATAGAAAATCCTGCAAAACTATCTTGCAGCTAACAAACTGCACCAGCGCGGTTTTGTTTTTGGTGGCTGTGTTCCGGCACTTGGTCCCGTTGGCGCGGACAAAAAGCTCCGTTGATGTCCTTGAACATGTGGTTGCTACGGCAACGTGTCAGTAAGGCGATTTCGCAGTGGTTGGAAAAGCACTTTTGAACAAACTAGGCGGGTTGAACGCACAGAGGTTGACATCAATCAAAGACAGTGAATACATTCATCCCTTTGAGTTCTTTACTTTGGATTTTCACAGAGTTCTCTTTTAACGTTAGTTAAGATTAATTCGTTTTTATCCAGATTTGAGTGTCCGTGAACCGGGCACTTGCTCCTCCCGCTGCTGATAAAGGACCACCGCTCAGAATATCATTTCAGTATTATTCAGTACCAGTCAAGAGAAAAAACAGCATCACATCATCTTGCAGATTTGCCAAATATTCAGCAAAGACAACAAATAAAACCGTGAAAGACTGTTTGCAGAGGAAATGGCAAATTGTTTTGAAGTTGTCAAAGCAAAACAGGTACAAAGATGAATTTTCTAAATGAAATAAGGGAAGAAGCTCAACTACACAGCAAATGTCAACGTCACATTCAGGATCTGCTAATAAAGCTGTGATAATAATAATAACATATATGAGCTCTTAGGGGCTGGACTAGGATACGGAATCAGGGGCAAAAGGCGCGTCCGTACCTCTCCCAGAGCGTGCCAGTGGGTGATGGGCTTCCGCGGGTAAGCCAACATTTCGTTCCAGTGATCCCGCCCGAGACCCTCGGCGTCCGGCCCGGTGCGACACACGCCGATCACCTCGTTGTGTCCGACCCTGTGAGCGGCGAGACGCACGTTTCAGACGCGCGGGCTCCTCGATAAAACACACACACACACACACACACACACATAGTTTGCGTTCTGTCGGCTCACCGGTCGTAGTCCATCACCATGATGGACAGACTGACTTGCTCCACGTTCTCCGGGGGGATGTCGAAGATGATGGCCTCGTTGTACACGGGGTTCAGCGTGCTCTTCTTGGTGGTGGTTTTTCGCTTCTTCAACCTCCGTCCGTCGCATATCAGGTAAACCTTGACGTAAGGGTCTGGGAGAGATGTTAGGAGGACGTCAACCAACAGGTACAACGCAAACATTGAGGTGGAAACTGTCGGGAAGTGTTCTGTGCAAACTCCCTTTCCCACTCCACAAAGTACAAACCCTTTCCTTTCTCCCAGTAAAGCACAGCCGACAGATGGATTTTGATTGAAATAACACATAATTGGAATGATTGGACCACTCTGGATTCATTACTCCTGCTCCCCATTTACGATCTCAAGTGGCGAGCTGCCGTCTGCTTTCAGCAGAGCTCGATCGATGGCGGCCCCCGGCGCGCGCTTTCCCCCCGCGAGCCGCCGGGTTACCTGAGGAGCCTGTGATGTCCATGGCTTTGAGGTTTCTGCATTTGATGACGGTTACGGTCATTCGTCCTGCTGTGGGGAGGTAGCACAGCGAGTACATGATCTCTCCCAGGTCGATGCTCTCCTGGAGGACAAAGACAAGAGGCGCGCGTTTTGAAAGGCCGACCCGAGTAGCCGCGCATCAAGACGCAACATTACGCTGGCAACTTTGTATTTCACGTTGAACGCTTCTCTGCTTTGTTTCTGTTTCGTTACCTTTTGAGAAACTGTTTCGGTGGTTTTCGCCTGCGGGAGTAAATGTACAGAGCTCCCGTTGCTGTTGAGTTATTGTGAACCTGAGAACCGTGGCTCCGTGTTTGTCACAATGAAACCACTCATGAACCCAGCAGAGGCTTTTGAGTAAACTGTGAAAATGTGGGAGTGCAATGCATCCTGGGCTGATGAACCACTTTGTACTGTTGAAGGGCAAAATATCTACGGTGCAAATACTAAATTGCTGCAGCTCATTCATAACTTGTGATTTGCCGGTTTAATTCTGTTTCTATATTTATGTCTGAGGAATACCCGGCATTTTGTGAGAGATGTGTGAGGGCGGGTGTTTGGCTAACGAAATGCACTTCCCAACGCCTTGGCATAATTCTGGTAATTAGAAGGGACTCCGTGTAACACCTCAGGTTTAAACCTTCCCCATAAAAAGCACCAGTCGCCGGTTGACTCATCGACGCAACACAACTGAGAACTCACTGTGGTCGCCGCATGAATATCCTTCCACACCACGGCCTCCCTGGAAAGGTCGGAGAGTTCAAAGAGGTTGTCCACCACCACCTCGCCGATCATGTCGTGGCTGGTGAAGCGGTCGAAGTCGTAGACGCTGAAGTGCAGCTTGCGGCTGCAGATCTCGTCGTACACCACGGGGAAGCGGAAGGTCTCGTCGAACATGGGGTTGAGATTCTTGCGCTGGACTCTCGTCTGGTACTTCTTCTTCCTCTCCGGCAGCAGGTAGATCTTCACGTACGGGTCGGAGGTGCCCGTGAAGTCCTTGGCGGGCAGGTCCAAGGCCTTGAGGATCCTCACCACCAAGGCTTGCTCCTCGTGGTCGTAGCACAGCGAGAAGCTGAGCTTTCCGCAGGTCTCCGCCGGCTCTTTGCCGCCGTCCTCCGACTCCACAGATTTCTGCTTGTAGAGTTCCGGCTTTATCCTTCCGATGCTCACAGTGGACGACTGGCGGAGGGGCACCGTGTCCATGCTGAAGTCAAAGCTGGTGACGTTCATCTGGCGAGGCAGGTGGCGGCGGAATGAGTTGTGCCTGGTGGAAAAGGGTAAGGGGCATCTGGTAAATGTCTCGAGTGCCAGTGTTGTGCATGAGTGGCTTTGTAATGATGAGAGCTAATGACTTGTGAGGAGAGGACTACTATCTGGAAAGCAACGTGCATAATAAACAGGTATCTATGTGAGATGCATAAATATTCACTGCACAGCAACCTGGAATGCTGTCATTCTTTTAAAATGCTGGATGCACATTGACGAGTAATATATTCACGTATTGTCCTTTCTTTGGATGATAAAGGATCTTGATCCTAAAATCAAGATCCCACAACCTTGATTTTGAGGGCAACCTGGGAACATTCAACGCCCTTTCCTCTTTCTTACTGAACACGTAAGAGTTTTACCCGTAAAGTAGCATCACGGGTGACCACATTTTTGATCTTTCTGTGGGAAAAACATCTGTCGCATTCAGGCAAATTATTCAAACGCTATAAATTTGCTTGAAGTTGAAAAAAAAAGAAGAAGAAAAGAAGACGTCTGTGTTTGACTCGCCAATCTTGTCACCTAGCAACTGGCCCTCCTCCTTTCTGACAGACATGCCCGAAACTATGGCACACCGACAGCACAGCTGAACATTTAGGTAGGCAACAATATTGAAAGAGACAAATCTGAAGGTAGAAACGTATGACACCCACGTCGAATAAAGGCCGCACACAGAACACTAGTAAGACAATTGGCCTTTGTAGTATCCTCTTTAAACATAACATCCTTCTCAATCCACTCCACTGGGGGTTGTACCAAATCCATTGATTAGATCTACTACCAGTATCCTGTTGCTGTAACGCTCACGTTTAAAAAGATCTAAGTTGTTTTGATGATTGGTTATAGTTGAAACTAAGTGCCAAGTAGTTGCTGGTCCAAGCTTCTCAAATAGGAAGATTTACGAAATGGTCACATTCGTCTGAAGTAATAAAAATGACCCTTGTTTGCGGCCCAATCCTTAATTAATGAATGAAGAAATTCTCGCGTTCCTCTTAAAGGGACAGTGCGTAGGAGTTAGTGCCACCCAGCGGTGGGGCTGCAGAGCGCGACCAACCAACTCCACCGCCTATCAACAGTAATTCTCTAAAATCCCGTTATTCTGAGGTGATCGGAGACAAACGTCTCTCATATAGAAGCCACTGATTCCTTCGCACTGGCAAACCAACCGGGTTGACATTTCTGCCAAAGACGGCGGCAGGCGCGAGGATTAAGGACGGCGGGCGTCGTAATCTTTAACCTGGCCTTTCTGCGTCCCCCGTGGGCGTCGAATTCATGAAGCCCTCCGTCTCTGTGTAATTGAATTAACAATCCTGCCGACAAACCAAAGCAATTGTCAATAACGGCTTCCTTTGAGAAAGTGAGCGCCTTCCGCCATGACACCCCCTCATCCCCCCCCCCCCTACGGCAGTGCTAATTATGGACGTTCTAGTTTAAACACGGTGGAGACAAAGGGGAGCAGGAGCTGGTTGTTTTAATTACTGTGGAAAGAGATTACGGGTTTTCAAACTGATTCACTGGCTGGCCGATGAGCCCCATCCCCCCCCCCCCTCTCCCCTTGCGGTCAGACAGCGCCGGAAGACACGCGATTCAACACGTGCCGGCGTTTCAAGGTCACGGGACACGGCCCCGCGCTGCCGCCACGTGCCACGTGCCAAACCACCTCCAGGAGATGGTCCGGAAGGCCGCGCTGTCACCAACTGTCAGGACATTTAATTACATATTTTTGCATCGCGCCGGGGGGGGGGTGCGGGGACAGAAATGTCCTCTCCATGGGGCGGGTGGGGGGGGGGGGGGGGGGGGTGACTGCAGCGGCTGGTTTAGTTAAGGCACCTGGAGGAGGAGGTGGGCTCCGTGGTCTGCCTCTGGATCTTAGCCTGCTGGCTGAGCTTCTCCCTCAGGGCGGTCTGCACCTCGGCGGGGATGTCCGGAGACGTCTGGCTGATCTTCATGGCCGCCTCCAGGAGCTTGACGGTGCTCCGCCCGTTGGCCTTCGCCTCCGGCGGGCGCTTCTTCTCCGGCTCCGCCGCCTCGCACCCGCCGACCCGCGGCGGGGAGCCGGGCGGAGGGGCCTCGGGGGGGAAACCCGCCCGCGGGCCGCTTTCGGCGTGGGCCGACAGGGCCTTGCTCCTCCAGACGGGCCAGCACAGCTTCCAGAAGACAAAGAGAGAGACTACCAACAGGGCGAGGCCACAGAAACCCACGACCACGGCAAGGAGACTAATAGAGATGTCTACCCCGCAGAGGACGACAGAGACACGTGAAGGGGGGGAAAGGACACGCAAGCCGGGGGAGACAAAATATGAAGGACAAACATGCAAAAGGTGAAAGAAGGGGAAAAAGGAGAAAAAGCTGTAAGAAAGAGGGGGCAGCATATGCACCTGTTTGACAAAACAACATCAGAAGAATCACATGTTCAGTGACACAAGTGGAAACAAACCTCCCCATTTCCTTTCCTAGTTAATAATTAAAGTTTGCACTGATTGTTCATCACGTGCCACGAAGCGCAACGGTGCCGCATTTCCAAAGTGTGAATTGAACTGACGCTGCGCGGATGACCCTGACTGCGGCTGTCTGTCTGTTCTCCCACCTGTTGCTCTTTTCCACAGGCTGCGGAGAGCTGCTGCAAGGCGCGCAACAGTAACTTTAGACACAGTTCCACTTGATAAAACGCGCGGAGCTAAAGTGGTGGGACAGGTTTGGACACATGGCGAGGTTTCTCTTTTCTTTTCCTCTCGTTCGCTGTAACAAGGCGACGTCTCTCTCCCTCTCTCTCTCTATAACGGGAGCAACCAAACGACACTAATTGAGGGAACGGTTTTGCGTTTACCTGCATGTCCTTTACCTGGAATGCTGCTCTCCAGGGGAAATACATCCGAACACGTCTCCTGGTCCACTTGCCCCGCGAGACAAAGTTCCGTAATGATCCGGAGAGCCCTTTGGCACAGGGAGATGCTGTCCTCCGCCCGGACACTCATGTCTCTCCTGTTAAGCCATTGCAGGCCGGGGGAGGCGGGCAGGCGGTGGTTCATTTGGGCCCCTTGGTTCTCCTCGTCTCATGCGCCGCGGAGGGCAGCCCGTCGGCGGGGGAGAGCAGGGAGGCGCGCTGCGTCCTGATCCATATCCAGCGCGCAACGAGGGGCGACTGGCGAAGACGCGGCTCCGCGCGCTGGAAGTCCAACCCCTCAGCCGCGCGTCCGATGGCGACGCGCACCAGCGTGCGTGTGACCGCCGTCTACCTTCTTTCCTTCTGGAGACGACTGTAGAGCAACGCACGGTCGCTGGTCGATGGACATCTGCCCCCCCCCCCCCCCCAAAATGGTCTTTGTCCCCCTGTGACCCCCGCGCGGCGTGCACGAGATGACAGACGAGGGATAATCGGTGGCTGGAGCTTCGCAGAATTAACCTATGACATTACAATCCCGTATTCAGAGGCTCGTTTGTTGCATCGATTTGCACTAATTGATCCGACGTCAAAGGGCCACGTGACAACAGCTTTGATCTCTCGCGATGTGGTTTTAACAGGCGTCATGCAAACATAGTAATACACGTTGTGCTCAATGCACATACAACAGAGAGCTGCTGCAGGGAACCACGGAGTTTATGTCACACAAAGCAAGAGAACAGCTCTTATCCAAGCTGTTTTCTCCAGGTGCTTGTATCATCTACCTTTAGCTCAATGCCAACGGGGGAGGGGGGTGGAGAAGGGGGGGCACAAAACTGTAGCCAAGGGAAACTGGAAACTGTGGTGGAAAAAAAAGAAGGGAAAATAACAAGAGAATGAAAGAGTGACACATTGATCATCTGTGTTTCCACACACACACGAGCTCAAATCTGTGCAATGCGTGCAGAGTTATTCGTCGATGATGCACTGCGACGATTCAACCTCGTAAATGGAAGTCCTGCATTCCCATCCATGTGGAGTGAGATGTGTTAAACATTTAAAGGGATGTCAGAACTCGGATCAGTCTCTACAGGTGAAACGTCTCGCGCAGGGACACATCTCGTACCGTACCTTTTGTTCTTCCGAGGCGGACGTAAAAAATACTAACGATTTGTCCGACCCTCTTGCCTTCTTCTCATGAGGTTGACATTTGTGACGCAGCGTGAAATATCCTGACACCCGTTGGATGGATTGCTGTGTAGTGACATAACGGCGCCCCCGGAGGAAAAGTCCGGCCGTGACCTTTGCGATCAGGACTCTGAACGAATGTCGGCTTTTCAGCGTGAAAACCTCATGCAGCCCAGAGATGGAGCGCCAGATGGTTTGGCGTGGAGCTTCAAGCTCCCCAAAGGTTGCTTCTGTTGGACGACCAACGGGCCCACTTGCGACGTCGTGCATCACATTTGAGACATTTTGTTCCTGTGGCTTTTTTGTCTCCGATTAGATTCTCGACAAACAGATTCCAAACCTCCCAATAGAACATGTCGAGTGTTTGCAGCGCCGCCACCCCGGAGCCAACGGCGGGCGGTAGGGCTGCTTGGCAGAGCCGCCGCTGGGTTTGGGACTTTGACCGAACAGAGGGACCGAAGCGATCGACTCCGCAGACGCAGACGCGGCCCAACGTCAACCGCAGCCGGTTTCTCGCTTTGCTGCTCAGGACGCAGAGGGACGATTTAAACAATCGCGCGGTCTCGGGGGCCGACTTGAATCGTTTTTCATTTCCCTCGGCGGTTTATTCCCAGCCTCGAATCCCCTCCGACACGAGGCAGACAGGGGGCGGTTTCCTAGACGACACTATATATTTATTGTCAGTAAACTGTCTGGGAGATTGGCTTTTTGTCTGAGTTAATGTCCTGCGTTTATGTCCAGAGTAGCCGAGAGGAAGAGAAATAAACAGCGTTTGTGCTGGTGGAGGAAACCAAGTCCACTTTAAAAAAGCATTTAGTGAAGTTGTGTATTTGTGTTGTTGAAAGTTACTAATTCGAAGGCCGAGAGGAAGGCGTGCTGATGATGAAGGGCTGATTGCGCGAATGCCAACTGGTGAGCGGCCCACTCGATCTGCTTCGGCCCGACGCTGTTCTTCAGCAACTGGGCCTCTTAGCGATGCTAAATATTAAATGTTTACGCGAATTGTTCCGTCTGGAATGATTTAAATTGCAATCAGTGGTCTCAAAACCAGCTTGATCAAGATGAATTATGGTAAAATGTTCTTTATTTTAGGATTTTTATAATAGTCCTCGTTTATTTAAGGGTGTGATCATCATGAGTGTTGTGTAATCAGCAATTTGAATGTCTTTGAGTTTAGGGAATTATTGGGATTACTTTGTTGGCAGCAGGATTTCATTTAATTTGTCCAACTGAGATATTCAAAATATCCAGTTTACTATCAAGTATCAGACGACAGCGAAGTGTACAACGCTCTCATTTTAGTTGCCATAACAACATGTTCACCGATTAGAATTTAAACAAAAGCACTCCATTATTTAAAGGAAACATGATGTTCTTCCTGAACCTGCTTTAACTTTGACCGTAGACAAAGTCCTAAACCGGCTTCAGATCACAAAACACTTTTGTTACTTCAAATTTGCTTAAGAATAGTTTTAGTTCGGGAAAAAAAACACCTGAAAAGAAGGATTTTCTTTTTTCCCACCTGACACTTTCACTTTGAATCCTTTCCCCTCCACAGGTGTTGATTTGTAATCATCGTTGTGTATTTGTACCGATGCTTTTCAACAGGTATAAATCAAAATGGTTTCCCGATATTCTCATTGGCAGCTCTCCGACTGGAAGTACGTTTTGGCAAATCACTTTCCGAACTTTGCCGAGGAACGCAGCCGACAACAATTCCCCCAGCGAGAAACCGCGGGAGAAAAGGTTACGTCTCTGTTCCTAAACTTAAGTTGACAAATGTCACCGTAAATGTCAGGGGAGCGGCCCGGCGCCGCGGGAAGGCGGAAGGTTTACGTGGCGTTTGGAGGAAACTCGGCTTTTAAAGATAACTCTTCGCGACGTGGCAGATTCCTCCGTCTCTTGGGTCCAATCACCCACAATGCACTTCTTCGTGGGCCACCTCGACGCGACGCCGGGCCGAGCGTGAGGTCAAAGGGTGCAGATGCAAATGTTCGAATCGTAGAAATTCTGCACCGGCTACACGTGGCTACTTGTTGCAGAACTTCGAGGAGAAACGTTGTGCTTCTTCGGGGGAGAGCAGGCGGCGGCGGCGGCGGCCGTGTTTGAAGGACGCGGCCTGTCGCCTTACGGCCTGCCGGGAGCGAGTTAACATGCAGGAACACGGGTGTCTTCAACAAACAAACGAAAGGCCCGGCGCAACACCCAAAATTGCAGCCGCGACTGATTTATGTCGCCGCCAACGAGGGCATAATCAGAAAGGCGGACGCCTCGGCACGGCTCGGCGAGGAGAGGCCGCGTGCGCGGCGGGCGCGCTGATTGCGGCGCGGGAAAAAAGCACAATGGCACTTAGCGGCGTCGGTTCAGCGGGGTGTCGTTTGGCTTCGCTTTGATTTGCGCAAGGACGCGACGCGGCGGAGAGAAAGCCGGGTGCGTTTGTTTGCCGAGCGGTTTAACGGCGCGCGGCTCGAGCTGCGGGGACACAAACAAAACGACCGTTAACGCCCTTAATTATTCCCGCTCGAAGCATCTACAGCCGACGCTGGTTGGCAGCGAGCGCCGTTCGGCAGATTTAAAGGCTCCAGCGACGTGGTGATGGATTTATTTTTCCTTTTTATGTTCTCACAAACGAGAAAGGGGGACAGGGGGGTTTCTTCCCCCCCCCCCGAGCTGTTTAAATATTGAGACGCTGGAGGCGTGCAGCGCTGAGCATCGAGCATGGGTGGACTTATGAAAATGAAACGGCTTTCGCGCCGAGAATAAAAAACCAGCATGTTTTGAAGCGGTGGACTAAAAGGGCACTTGAGTGATGATCAATTAATGACGAAGCGGCAGATTAGTGCCGCGGATTCATCTCACACGTAGTTTAATACAAATGTGCTTGAGGAACGTGTCGGGGGATCTGCGGGGGTCCTACACGTATTGACACATGGAAAGTGAAGACGTGTGGACCGACGTGCAACATCACCAACATCAGAGTGTCGCAAAAAAAAGTCACATTCAGTCAGACGTTTAACCTGCTAAAAAAGACATTTTCAGCTCCAGCGCTGAAGAAGCAGGTCGGATTTAATCACCGATCACCAAATAGCCCTTTGGTTTAATTAGGCCATTTAAAGGTTAACTGCCTTCCACCGCCGAGCTGCCTCCAACTCCGTCAGCTCCACCCGTGTCTCTGGAGAAAAGACCGGAGAACAATTTTTTTGTAAAGATGATGCGTTGCCAAAAATACCGTCGCTCCATGTGCAGCACAGACAGGTGAGTCACAGCAGGTGTCTGTGCCTCTTTTGTTACAGCACATCAAGCTCAGGGTTCAACTGGTGCACAGCAAGTGATGCGTCTACGCCGTTTGACTAAAGCTGCTTTTCTGGTCTATTCAGATGTGAACAGCAGCAATAACTGTGTCCAATGCACATATTACACAAGTCACGTTCTTGTTATGAAACGATGGACCTCCATTCAACTCTTCAGGTGTCCGTCTTGCCCTCGTCTTCAGCTCGGTTTCCACCTGGAGAACACACACACACACACACACACTCCCCACACACGAGGGTCGGTTGGCGGTGTCCGATCACGCTGATGGCGCCTCACTGAGATGTCGGGAACAATTACCTCTGCCTCGCTGCCACTCAGGCCCCCGGGGGGGGGGGGGCAGTCATTATCTTAACCAGAGGCCGCTCGCGACAGTTAATTCACATTAACAGCGGCGCCACCTGGTCGCCGGGCTGCAATCAGACTCATTAGCGCTCCTGCAAAGCTCCTTGAAGATGGGACTTTTTGTTTTATTTTTTTTGGGGGGCGTTTCCGTAATGCAGCCGCTGTAAACCTGCTCTGACGTAATCGTCTAATACAAAGGCGGGATTTAATTCAGTCGTGTTCACTCCAACAACACAGTTAATCCAACTTTCAGCTCTGAGAACACGAGGAGCCGTATTTTGTATTCTTGTGGGTGTGACATCGGCCAATGAGTTCATTCCGTTGTTTTTAATTGATTAACACATTTTTTTAAAATTAGCTGCACAGGAGATTTGACACTGATTGAGTCCTTCCGTCTCTTCCTCCTCGTCCCCTTTTTGCTGCTCCTCTCGGCACGAAGACAAACCTCAGTCAACACAAGGGCGGGCCCTCCCGGGTGATTGACAGGTCGCCAC